CCTCTAGTCTCACTCTGGAGGATAAACCTTTAGAAAGTATAACACAAAGAAACGTTAAAATCTGGTTTGTTACTTTCTAAAACTTCCTTTATTCTAAAGCTAAACAGGAGGAAGGACATTGTAAAAGTATCTGCTTTAGGCGTTGACCATTGGCTGTATAGCAAACCTACTAAATTCAGTCGTTATTTTCATCGTAGACATTTCCTCTTACTTTTTTCAACAAAAAGGTAACAGATTGATAATATATTAATTAGTCAACCAGTCGTTTTAATATGTCAGCGTTAGGTGATACTGTAAGCAAACGAAACATGAAGGAGCTCTTTCTAAGCCAGCTGACCAGCAGCATGCAGCAATAGGTGGAGGAGGGGGAAACTCTACATCCTTCTATCAACCCAGGAATTTCTTTAGCATTTGATTGAAACAAATCTTAATTCCAGGGTTTGTTTCTGTTTAGTAACATTTTAAAAGCTGCTGATGATCAATAGATGCAACAGATTTGCTTTCAGAGGCTCTTTAATGAGAACTGTAGCTTGAGCCGCCTTTAGTTTCTGGATTGGAAATATCCAAACAGCTGAACTTATCTTTAAAAAAACATTCTAGAGTCTTCTTGCAGATGGTGGAATCAAAGGGAGACAGCTCCGGTACTTTCTGTGGCATTTAATAAAAGACTTTAAACTAGAAAGAATAGTTTGAAACTCAAAAGACGAGCCAGCGCTGGATCTACCGGCCTCCTGCAGCCAGAAACTAGCCACCCGCCCCCCCACTCCCTGCACACTCCCACACCCCACCCAGGAGGATGCCCATTGTTCCCCCAGTCCTCTAAACAAAGCACGCCCCCCTCCCATACCCCACCTAACTGCTTTGCCCCTCAACACAAAAACACAGGGCTTTGTTGCTCTAATAAACCGGCTCCACTCCCCAAATTTCATTACACTGGAGCTCAGACTCTCGCCCCACCTTAACAGTTTTAAATACGTCTGAATAAATTCATCCAGGTGCTAAAATCTAAGGATTCGAACCTAGAAAGAGAGAAAAGAGAGGGAATAATCTCTAAACGGCTGCAGACGGGATTTAGTGGATCACCTGTTGATTCATCCGACTGATGCAAACAAAAACTGCTCAGAAAAAAAACAAAATGCAGCGTCACAAGACTTCATTTCATGCCAGGAAGATTTCCCCCTCCTAATCCCAAGCCTGTTTAAAAAAAAAAAAAAAACTGTGTGCCGGATTTTGTGCCTAGAAATGAGACGACAGATGAGGCAACAAGGAGGAGGGAGTCTGGGGAGCAGGCTGCATCTCCAAACTCCACCATATTGCAGCAGCATTGGTGGAGGAGATGAACACACACATAAACGTGAGCGCGTTTGTGACTAAAGCACACAGAGAACATATGGTGCGTCCTCGGCCAGCGACGCCTGTTGCTGCTGCAGCAACAATAGAGGCCTGGACGGCAAGAGGCAAACACACAAGTGTACAAGCACACAACACACACACCAAATAGTCATTAGTCAGTCGGCCTGCGTTGCTCGGACCCAGAACAAACGCACAGATTTGCATTTTGCACCTCCCTCCCTCCCTCTCTCCCTGACACACACACACACACACACACTTCCTGGATCTCTACAGGTGCACAGAGCTCTCAAAACAGATGTCAACGAACTGGAGAGGAGAGGGAGAGGCGCTGAGGGGGCCGAGAGAGACGGAGGGGGGAGGAAAGTGGAGACTGTTTGCCCAGAGTGACTGACAAAGCAGGCTTAAACACAATGACAGACACACAAATGCTTTCTCTGTTACACTTTCAGCTTAGTCACAGCTTTTTATTTTAGAACAATGGAAGAAATGAAAATTAAAAACTGAGTGTGACGGTTTAAGAAGTCCAAAACATAGTCCACAGAAATAATCTGATACGGTTCACTGATGTAGAAACGTGAAACAGAAAAGACTGGAACAGAACGTGTTCAATTATTAGAGAAACAGAATCACAGGCAGTGATTTATCCGTCGACGAAGCCGAACCGAGAGTTTCCGATCAAACCGAAGGCTCTGATCGACAGAAAACTAAAGATCCACTTCTCCCCATTTCCTTCCAGTTCCAAACTTCCTGCTAAGATTCTCTGGATTTCTCTTCCGATTTAGAGCTTCTTAAACAAGAAGTTTCACAATATTCCCTCTATAAAGACGTCAAAAATGTTTTCTTTTATATAAGAAAACTTTATTTAGTGTTGGATTCAAAACATCGACCTTTATCAAGGAACAAGGAGCAGAGCGACCAGTTAAAATCAGAATAGACATTAATCCACTGATTATTTTCCCCGTCTTTAAAGTACCAAAGTTAAATTACGGATAAATTAAGTATTTCAAAAAGTGAAGTGTCTTTATCGATTGAAAATGTATACTTTTTTCCTCTAGAACTACTTTGAAGTCTTTGGTTTCTGAAGCATTACGAAACATCCAAACCACAAACGTCTTAACTTTTGCATCTCTCCTGTGACTAATGCATCGCTTGCTTCCCTCAAACCCTGAAGGCAAAAATCATCTTTATCACAATAAGTTGAGTTAAAATGGTGAAACGTCTAGGGTTGTCACGATACTAAACTTTTCAACTCGATACCGATACTAAGTAAAATATTCGATACTCGATACCCTTTTCGATACCACAAGGATAAAAACAAAGTCTCTAAAATTCAACAGAAATATTTTCATTACTAAAAAAATACAAGAAATAAATAAAAAAACAATAAGAATAATATTTTGAGGTTGTATGCTGTGCACAACATTAAGCAAGCTTGATAAAAAACTTACAGAATTAAAATTAAGTGTTCCTTCCTTGCCTATGTTTTGCAGATGTTTTTCAGTCTGAAACTGAAAAATGCACAGAATTATTCAATCACACAGTGTTCAGAAAGTGCATTTTCCACTATTCTGCACTTTAGATGGCTGTATCAATACTTTGTATACGGATACAACGTTTTAGTTTCGATACTTTTTTGAGTATCGATACTTTTTACAACCCTAGAAACGTCTGATATTCAGTTTTAAAGGTCATAACGTGCCGATAATGTAGCACGTCCCTACAGATGACTACTATGACATCGTTAATTGCTGATATTAAATTTTTTAATATCAGCAATTAACGGTATTAAGTAAAGACTCTAGTTCTATTCAATCTAAACGGTTCACTTCACAACCAGCATGAAAAGCATCCCAAAGCATCATAACACCACCACCATGCTCCACCACAGGTCCATTCAGTCGGTGAAGTTAAGTAGGAAAACGTTTGCTTAAAGAAAACGGTAAATGTTGTAGGTTTCTTAAGCTCTTATGAATCCAACAGAAGAAAATAAAATTAAATCTTAACGATTATCCTCATTTACGAAGCTAAGCTCATCTCTAACCTCTGATTTGTATTCCACTAAAAAGCTACGTGTTGTTGGTTGATGCTTTTACTGACCAAAAACGGCAGGACTGCTGAACTTAAATGCTTTTTAGGAATGTGATTAACCAAAAAAAAAGTTTAATTCTGACCCATGTGGGGTCACAGCCTAATATAATGCAACATTTTTTTTGTATTTACTTAATCATATTTAGTTACTTTAACACAATTGTTTCATGTTAGGAGGGTAGGACATAAAACAATTGTGTAAAAGTTACTAAATATGATTAAGTAAATGTCAAAAGCGGCTGCATTACTTTTTTTAGTGTAGTTTCTGTAGGAATTGTGCATGTAATGAAAATTAGCCAGATGAAAGACTCTGAACACCTTTTTATTGTTTCTGTTCAGACAAAAAATAAAATAAAAATAGAACCGCATAAAACCTGTAGGTCAGACCTCCAAAAAGTCTCGATTAGTGCATCAGTTTATACTTCGAGGCACGTTTAATCTTAAAAATCGGTAGCAAAAAGGATTAGTTCCCTTTTTTTTTATATATATATGAGCTGTTTTTAATACAATTAAGCAATTTTAGTTCTACAACTGTAACACTGCAGCAAAACTGCATTTGAGACAAAGTATTTATCCTATACTGGTGATTTTACTCATCATCTGAACACCACATTCGCATCAAAAAACAACCAGTAACTCTCCTTCTCTCACTTTTAATCGCTTTTCATCCCAAATAGCACATCTTGTAAGACATCAGACAAAAGGGGCTCGCTGTTCCAGAAGAAGAGCATCTGCCCTGCTTCATCCAGGGCTGTAATTTTCCTCCAAAAATGACATTGTGGTTTTTCCTGCACCGCCACAGATCTCAGGCTATAAAAGGCCAAAGAACAAACCCTTTAATCAATATTCCAAAAAACACAAGAGTGAGAGAATGGGGGGTTTAAATGATGTTCTCAGGAAAAGTCTCAGAAAACACAGATATAGTAAATCAACATGTGTCAGCAGAATAAAAAACAGGTTTTAATTGGAAAAAATCAGAGTTTTTTTTTTGTCTCTGATTTTAAAAGCCTTTATGCTTGAAGCAGATGATATGCTGCATCCACTGGGTAAACACTGGCTGTTATCAGCCTGTGGCCTGTTTCCCTGACTGGGGCCTGGCTGGCTGTGCAGGGAGAGAGAAAACCCCGCCGATGCAACAAGTCCCCCATTCACTCCCAGCTTTGTTAAGCTGCCTCCCAGCTCTGAGAGCGGAAAGCTTCTCTCTCCATTTAAGGACACCCGCAGGCTGAGATCTAGCAGGAGAAAAGGAACCAGAGGAGGTGGAAGGGAGAGGAAAGTGTCAAAAGAGGAAGATTTCTGGGTGTTTTGGTGTCGAGGAGGGAGAACAGGGGAAATAATAAAACTGGAGTGGAAGCTGTCGCTGGGAGGCTGGACGCGATTCGGGGGGAAAAAATCAGCTTGTTTAACATCAACATGTGGAAATGTTTTAATCCTTTTTGGCTCAAACTGCTTTTTTATTTAAGAAACGAGCGAAACCGGGAGATTTGAGACGCGGATCCTGAAGAGGTGATCGTTTGGTGGAGGGAGGGGAGGAGGGGGACTCCTCCTAGGGAACTTACCTCGATCCAAACGCCGCTTTTCTCCTTTTAATTCCCACTTTTCCCACCGGATCGGAGCCGCCGTAGAACCGGGAAGCGCTCGGCCAACTCCGGACGGCGCACTCGGCTTGGCGCTGATGGACGATCGGGGCGCGCGGAGTGCGTAAAATGCGCAGCGTCTCTCCAAGGATGCGAAATATGCGCGGAATGGGAGCAGGAATGAAATGAACGCAGCGGACTGAGTTGAACGGGGCGGGGTGAGAGGGACTGGCGTCACCCTGGATGAAACGGAGTGAGTGAGAGATGGGAGGATGGGTGAAAAAAAAGGAAAGAGACGGAGGGAGGGAGCGGACTGTAAGGGCTGCTGCTTCAATAACAAAAGAAAAGAGTGGAGCAGCGCCTAAACTCTGGGGGGCAGATAGAGACACGGTCTGCTCTGCTCGGCTGGACACCAGATAAGAAAAAATATGCTTAGTCGGTAACTGTAAGATTTACACAATAACTACCACATCTAATAATATTTGTTTATTTTTGCAAACACACTAAACTCATCAGAAATAGTCATAAACTTTCAACTAAATCATTTCCAGTAAACTGGGGTCTACTAAACCATTATTTTGTTTAGTTTCTTTCATAAAATATTTTTTTTTCTTAAATTCTTTTTGGAGATTTTGTCCAGAAAATGTCTAATGTTACATGGGTTTTTAATTGTTACAATCCCTCAGCATGATACTGCTATCACCATACCATAAAGTGTTTAAAAGCCTTGTTTTCCTAACCATCTGAAGGTTTTTGGACTTTGGCAACTTACTTGTTTTCAGTTTCAACACATTGGATTGTTTGTTTGTCAATAAAAAACTGCTGGTTTTAGATTGAATAGAGCTTTATGTGTTATTTTTTATTATCTTTGTAGATTTTAAATCCAACTAAAGGTGGGAAGCGTGCCAAAAGATTGGACTATTTTTTACTCATGTATAAGTAAAAAAGAGTAAAAAGAGAAGAGTAAAAAACTAATTGCTAAGACTGAGTGACTAATCATAGCATCAGATTTCCAAAACAAGACAAAATCAATATATTATGTAACATACTGTGTGTTAGAGTAACTTCCTCCAGTGACATACTGACACTTTGTGCTGTATGTTATAATGACCTTCATAAAAGATATAAGAAAGATTAAGACAACAAAACGAAATTCTCATTTTAGCCAAACTCAAACTGTATGTCTTTATCTGGAGCATTTCAAATGTGTTTTTTCTGAAGATACTCATAGTGGGAAGAGTAGTAAAAAAACAAAATACTCAAGTAAGAGTAGACATTCTTCATAACAGTTTTACCCTAGGTTAATGGTAAATGGTAATGGAGTGTTGGTCTAGTGGTTAGAGCAGTGCCCTTGTACTCTGAGAAGGTTGCAAGTACCTGGTTTGATATGGAATAAAGAAAAGATGAATAAAAAATTTGAAAAACCTTTAATTTCCAATATATTTAAAGCTATCATTACCGTCAGACTGTTTACCAATTTGTTTCAATGAGTTGGACTGCGTGTGTGTTGCAGTTAACGCAGATATGTCGCCACCCCTTCTGCAGACACTCTACACTATGCGTATTTCCTGTTTGGTGCCTGACCGGCTCGTGGAAAACGACTCGTGAAGTTGGGCCAGCTAAAGAAGTGAGGTGCGTGAGAACGCTGGGACCCTTTTTTCACCTGGATCCCCGCTCTTTTTCGCCCCTCCGTTGTTGCACATAACATAGCGCAGACCACGCTTTATGAGGCATAAATCAAAAATAACTGCGACAACTCACTGCGACACACTGCTGTGGGAGGATAAGCAGCCCTTAACTGTGATATAGCTTTCTGTTCTCTGTGTAATCAGTGAAGAGAGAGACTTTTTGCTGCTAGCAGCTCCTTTAAACTGGTGTTACTGGTTCTGGTTGCTCTCAGAGGAATGTTAAAACTCAGCTCCATGAACACATTCATTTACCAAAGCCAACCTCATCTACTGTGTTTATTGCCAGGATGTCTTTTTCTATCATCGTATCTTTCTTTACCTTCTGATCAAAGCAGAAAGGTTACGCTGCTTCTCTATGCTGCACGGCTAATTGGGCGCTTTTTAGGTGATATCCTAAGGCAGAGAACTTTAACAAGGGGTCCAAGACCCCTAGGGGGACCACGGAGGTACTGCATGGGTGTTGCGAAAGTTTTTGTTGATTAGACTTTTTTTTTTATTCCCCTGCAAATTTTTTCCACTAATTGAAATGTCTTTAAATCTACATTAATATGAATTTAGTAAACAGTAGTAAACTGTAGTAAACAGATAAATGGAGGCAGATGTCTTTCAGTCATCAATGCTCACATTCAGCGACACACAGGAGCTCTTTCAAGCTGGGCACCGTTTCATTCACAACACCTGTACCATCAACCAGGAATCAGAATCAGAAATACTTTAAAAATCCCATTTATTTACTTTCGTTGCATTACTCCAGCTGTAATAGAGTGACTATAGGACCAGTTTCGGTATAACACAATTTCATACAATATCTATATAATTAGGGGTCCCTGCTCCATCTTGTCATCGGTTTGGGGGTCCTTGGCCTGGAAAACGTTGAAACCACTTGCCTAAGGAGTTTATCCAGCGTTCACATATACAAACAGAATCATATAAAGTGTATCCTCGTCACCATTAAACAGTTTGAGAGTGTTGGCCTAGTGGTTAGAGCAGTGTACTTGTGTTCTGAGAAGGTTGCAAGTTCCCCAGTTCGATCCCCACAGCCTCCACTCTGGGTTCCTGAGGAAAACCCTTAACCTCTGATTGCTCCCTGGGCGCTGCACAATGGCAGCCCACTGCTCCCTAAGGGGATGGGTTAAATGTAGAGGATGAATTTTTCCAGTGTGAGATCAATAAAGTTCAATTACTTCTTTCGCAAGTAAATGTAGAAAGAATGGCGCAGTAAAACTATTTCTACAAGTGAATGTTTGTTAAAAAGTTACCAAAGGAAATGTAACTAGTTAGAACTCACCGATAAACCCAACCAGAACCTGAGAGGTTCACCGGCTGGAAGGCTCTCATTTAACAGTTCCTGCCTGTGAAAATGCATTTTCTTTGGATGATTCAGCAATTTAGTCTAATAAATCCAGAGATGGCAAAAGTACTCACTTTCCGTACTTGAGTAAAAGTACAGATACTTGTGTTAAAAAATACTCTGGTAAAAGTGGAAGTACTGATTAAACTTCTTTACTCAAGTAAAAGTAACAAAGTACAGGCTTGTAAATTTACTTAAAGTATAAAAGTAAAAGTAGAAACCACTTTTTTCATGCCGTTGCCTACATTTTAAATGGATGTCTGCCAATAGGACTAGATCTCCGTTGTGTTCATTTTCAATCATCTCGTCGTCCATGCTACTATGCTAACGCCACCGCCACCAAGCTGCAATGATTTGCCGCCAATGAATACCGCCGAATCTGTCCATTCATCTTGTAGTGGTGCGTCAAATGCAACGTAGATTCCCATCCAATTAGATTGAATTTGGTATTGATGACGTGAAAAATAATAACGGTAACTCCATTGAAATGATTCAAAACTAAAGTAACGAGCCAATTTTTTAAAATGTAAGGAGTAGAAAGTACAGATATTTGTGTAAAAATGTAAGGAGTAGAAGTAAAAAGTCGCCATAAAAATAAGTAGTAAAGTAAAAATATCAGAAAAATCTACTTGAGTACAGTAACGAAGTATTTGTACTTCGTTACTTCCCATCTCTGAATAAATCAAAGCAATTTCTCAGGTAAGATATTTATTTGAAATCAGATGTGAGCGATTGATGATTTACTTTCATTTTTTAACAAAGAAGTACCCAATAAAAAGCTTAATCAGCATCTAAACCAGTCTGTCCAGAAGAGTCAAACATTACATTTACAAACAGTGAGATTAAACTAACCGCGTCAGCTTCCTTACACCCCGGGGTGTGGGGGCTGTCTTTGTGTCCCCCCCTTCCTCCCTCAGATCTTTGAATGCAGCAGGCAGCCACCTCGCCTCATAAAGGAGTTGTTGTTTACTACTAAGCTCTGCCTATCTCAGGTTTCACCCCCTCTGGCTGTTCTGGACTGTCATCTCCTCAGAGGGAGGGGCCTTTGACATAAAACAAACACAGATATGCAGGAGTCACAACCCCCAGGTACACCGCCTGCAACCCGACGCCGCCTCCGAGCCCCGGCTGGACGAGTGGCTGGCGGGAAAGCATTCCTCACGGCAGCGTGTCCGTGTTTGTGTGTGTAAGATGAAATTCTTCCAGACGAATACAAACAGCTGATTCACATGTGGACTGTGTGGTTCTTGGCGGAGCCATGTGAGGCTCAATCTCAGACCCGGAGCAGTGCAAACACGGAGCCTGCCAGTAAAACATTCAGCGCTGTGACCTTCGGGTCAACAGTCTGACCTCAGCTCTGACCCCACCTGGTTTCCTGATGTTTTATTAACGCCAGAGATGCCAGGAATCTGACACCCTCTTCCTGCTGGATCACTGCACACAGAAGCAAAACAAACCTATCTGACTTCTACTGCGGTGGATCTTTAGTTTTTTTTGTTGAATTTTTCATTTTGTGTTTTTCTTCTGATAAAATTCAGGCATTTCTACGTTTCAAAGGGAAGGGCAACATTCAGAACACCTGACTAAAATGGAGAAACAGCTTTAGGTGTATTTTAAAGCACCACATCCAACAGACCACATCTTTATTTGATATCATTAAGACTTTTCAGGAAGACCAGTGTGAATAAAGTCAGGTTGATCCAGCAGTAAAATGTCTACCTTCAGGGCTCTGTTGCGTTCCATTTGTTTGGAGATTTATAGCTGTGAGTCTGACGGTGCACCACAGTCTCCTTTGGAATAAATCACTAGATAAAATAAAAAAATAAAACAATGAATACTGCTGTATGTACTGTTTCCATTTGAAGACATTCATAATAATTGAACTTTATTGATCTCACATTTAACCCAAGTGGGCTGCCATCGTGGGGCGCCCAGGGAGCAGTGTGGGGTTAACCCCTAGAACCCTACGGACCCACCGGTGGGTCCAGCTGCTA